AAAAAAAAAAAAAAAAACTACTGAGTCTTGCAGTCCAGTGGAGAAGATAAACCGTACATAACTAATTCAAGCACAAGGTAGGTAAGTATTGAAGTGTAGGTATAAACAAAGTAGTTGTAAAGAGAAATATATATAGGAACGGAGATTACCTTTGTCTTGCTCTGAATCCTCTACATGTTGCCTGCAAAAGGATAATTTTGTTCCTTTGTTCTTGGTACCGCTTATTTTCCCTATAGCCTTTCCATCTTGCCTGGATGTAGGTAGCAGCCATGTGCCTCCGCCTATAATGCTCCCGCCATCTCTGCTGGATGATAATAGCTGCAGCCCGTAGCCCCAAGTACCATCGTCTCTCTAAGTGCGCACGCCAAGAAGCTTGGAGAAGAGCAGCTGCACTAGCCATAACAAAAGCATTCTTCTGCACATCTGCATCTTTGACTTGCTTTTGATTCAGGTGATTCCTCCAGAATTGCTGTGGAGAAGAAGACAGAATAGAAGCTGTTGTCATATTTTATATCCTATTTTCATAGAAAGGGAAGTAAGAATAAACTTCCTACATCATAATTAGAAGTTAACTAGCTAAACCGACGAACTATTTGTTTTTAAGCTTTTTTCCCCCCCAGATATGCTTGGCTAAAAACAACTATTTTAAATAATAGAATTTTAATAAGGTTATTATAGAATTTAAAATTTTAACCTCAAAATTTTTGATGCTCTCATGTCCTATAAATTGATTTTAATAAATTTTATATATAGTTACACTATAATTGCCCAGGGAGCTCTGGTGGCGTAGTACCTAAGGCATTTGACTGCTAACCAGAAGGCTGGCGGTTCAAACCTACTAGTCACTCCTTGGAAGGAAGGTCGAGCAATCTACTTCCATAGTGATACCGCCTCAGAAACCCAAGGAGGGGTTGCCATGTGTCAGGTCCGACTTGACAGCAATGCATTGCACTGTTGCATATAACTGCCCAGATAATAGTAATGAGCTCAAGATCATCATGCACACATGTTAAGATGAAAGATTTAAAAGACTAAGGATTTTCTTGCACAAATTGAAAAAGTCCTATGGAAAACATATGATAATATAGAAAATAAGAAATAAAATACCTATCATCTGAAATAAATGCATAAAAATTATAACAGTAAAAATGTCCATATATACTGAGGAAGAGGAAGACATTGAGAGGTACATGGGAGGTACAGACAACAAAGATCAACCCTTTTGCACATATAGTACTGCATTGTCAGTGAAGGCAAACATGGGTATATGGGTGGATAGATGGGTAGACAGGCTAAACTATTAGGTATGTGTATGAAGTGGGGAGTGTACCCAAGACCATATATAAGTTTGGCATACAATGGTCCTATAAGTGTATTTGTATGAATTCCCAGGTGTATAGTAGAGCTGACAAGGGACAAGGTTGTAGTCACTTCTTGGTCACAGCCAGCTACCCAGAGGGATTGGGTAGTTGAACCTGTGGGTGACTCAGGACCACCGTCACAGGGGACAAGTTCAATTGGCATAACATACTATACAAAATTTTGTTCCACCTCCTACTTTGGCAAGTAGTGATCTTAAAAGCTTGCAAGCAGCCATCTAGATACAACAGTGGGTCTCTCCTCATCCAAAGCAAAGAAGAATGAAGAAAATCAAAGATTCATGGAAAGAATTAGTCCTAGCTACTGGTACACCATGTGATCTGCAGCCTGTATGACTATGAGACCAGAAGAGCCAGATGGTGCCTGGCTACCACCATCAACCACTTTGAGGGGGATCTATGTAGAAGATCCTTGATAGAGAAGGAGAACAACGTGGAATGAAATTCAAAACCATTTGGGGAAATAAATAAATAAATAAGGGGACCAGATTTGCTGGTCTGATAGAGGCTGGTGGAACCACTGAGACTATGGCCCCTAGCTGCCCTTCAGGTCTGGAATTGAACACACAATTGTGGTTTCCAGCCAAACAAATGACAGGCATATGAGTTGAACATTTACCTGAGGTAGATATACTCCTTGGAGAGAACAATCATGGGAGAAAGAAGGCTGTTTATGCACAGGGAGACAGCTCAGGGGGCAGAAGTGCATGAAGGGATGGACACAGGGAAGAAGTAACTATTAGAAGGAAGTGGGAGGGGAGCTGCTGCATTGTGGTAAATTGTAGTCAATGTCATGAGACAAAGTGTATGTCAACTGTTGTATGGAAAGTGAATTTGCTCTGTAAATTTTTACCCAAATCACATTAAAAATAAATAAATAAGAAATGTCCATATAAGTCTCAATTACCATTCAAAAAACTATTAAATACACCAACTAAACTTAAGGCATGTTAACTCCTTTGCCCCTATTCATACCTCCCAAGACATTACAACTATAAATTCAACTTTATTTCAATCTAACTCAATCAATACTTATTAATAGTAATAAATTATATGTCAAAGAAGCCCTGATAGCACAGTGGTTAAAGTAATTGTCTGCCAACCAAAAGGTCAACAGTTTAAATCCACCAGCCATTCAATGGAAGAAAGACATGGTGATCTGCCTCCATAAAGAAGCCTTGGAAACCCTATGGAGCAGTTCTACTTTGTCCTACAGGGTTGCTATGAGTCAGAATCAACTTGGACGGCAGTGGTTAATTACATGCTAGGCAATATGCTGAATATTATGAACATTTCAAAAATGAGGAAGAAGTTTACATTCTTATTTAAATGTTTCCAAGTAAAATAAAGGCCAAATAAACTAGCCAATCCCATGCAAAAAAGTCTTTGTTTCCCACCTGGATAATGATGGATGCCTGTCTCAGACGGAGAAAATGCTGCCTACACAGCAAGGCTCTGAACCATCGCTGCAACAATATGATCCTGCGGAGCACCTCTTGGTGAAGCAGATCTTGTAAGTGCTGCCGTTCCTGCTCCTTTAAGAAGACCTACCAGGAGGGAGAAAATTGAGGACTGTAGCTTAGGAAGAAATAAGAAATTTCTTTCAAGTATCATCTTTCCTGTCCTAAGCTTTCAGAGAACAGCAAATACACAAGATTTGACCATGTGTAAATGCATTACTGCTAAAAACTTCTAATGATTTATCCAAAATAATCATTCTCAAATTGGAAAGGAGATATTAGAATATGAAAGGAGAAATGGAAAGATGAGCACAAGCACAAAAATCCTGGAACCAGAGATTGTGATATATTGCTCCCTTGGAAATATCAAGGAGCTCTGGTGGTGCAGTGGTTAAAGCATTAGGCTGCTAAGCAGGAGGTTGGTACTTCACACCCACCAGCTGCTCTACGAGAGCAAGATGAGCCAGTCTGCTTCCATAAAGATTTACAGCACTGGAAGCCCTATGGTACAGTTCTACTCTGTCCTATAGGGTTGCTATGAGTTGGAATCGCCTCATTGGCAGCGGGTTTTCTTTTGGAAACATCACTGCCATAATAAGCCAATTTTTCTAGGGTTTTAGGGTGGGGAAAAAAATGTTGAGGACTATAGATCTTGAAGTTTTATAATAACATGAACAAAACAATGACAACTGTCTTTTCAAAACCCGGAATATATTAAAGGCATCTTGCTTTCCAAAGTTATTATTTCATTTATGTGCTCTTTAATATCATGAATAATCTTTAGGGATTTGGAGGGATGCATAGATAAATAAGACATAGACCCTTTAGGAAACTGGATTTGTACTTTACCTTTAAGAGCAAGTAGATATTAGATAATCAAAGAGGAAGATAATAAACTAATAAAGGCTAGGGACAGAGGAACCCACCTGAGCAAAATTAAGAGATGGAAATAGTAATAAAGGCAAATACAGGGTATAACAGAACAAATGCTCTTTATAAAGAAAATAGTATATAGTGTGAAAACACAATATGGAGGCTCTTAAAAAAGAAAAACATGATTGAATTTAATGAGAAGGCTATCAGGGGATTATTTTTGAGCAAAAGGTCTAAATAAAATAAGTGTATTAGGATAGTGATTGTGATATTATGATTAGAATGAGCTCAACAGAATGACAAATATATTGGAATCAGATAAGCAAGCTGTTTACTGTAAGAGAAATGTAGGTGAGAGGAGCTAAGGATAAGAACTGAAAAGGAAGCAATAGGAATAAAGAAAAAGGGAGAGCTGTGAAGATCAAAAGGGGAAGAAAAACACAGAACTTTGTAAACGAATTAAAGTCAAAATTAAGGCAAAGATGATTATTGTTTCTAGCCTTAGCAACAAGAAGAAGAGTGTCAGAAAGTAGTTGATAAATTTAGGGATGTAGGGGAATCTGGATAAGATCCCTTTAGGCAAACTGAGTTGGAATTACAACAGAATGTCTAGGGAGGGATGTTTCTTAGGCAATAAAATTACAGTCAGACTACAGCATTGGCTAGAAGCTCTTTGATTAACACTGACTACATTACTTAATAACTTTGTTCTGATAAATTTCCTCATGATATGTTTATTATAAACATTCTTGCAGGCAAAGACTAGCATTATTATATAAATGAAAAATGCACTCAATTTTGACAAGGACTATATTTATTTACCATGGTTTTTCCAACTTGATAATTATCTGAATTAACATTTATTTTCCTGAAGAAATCCTGAATGTTAACCTTGGATGGAATAATATTTCGGGGAAGTAGTACATGGAAGTGACTCACAAAATCCTGAAAAATGAAAAGAGAATGTTATAAAACCACAAGATATGTAAACAAGTTCTAAGCTAAATGTCTTTTTATTCTTTTTCTCATTCATTTAAACAGAGTAAAATCAAGACAGAGCTTCTTAATTTAAAATATTATAAAAAGGTTAATTTGGAAAAGACAGCAGGTTCAACATACCATGTTATCAAAGGGAAATAGAAGATGAAAGGAAAGGCAGAAGCTAATTTGAAAACAATTTTGAAAAACTATAAAAGGCCAAAGGAAAAGTTTTCCAATCACAAACCTGAAATTTTAAGTATAAAAATAAGCAAATGTGGCATCTACTATTATAGGATAACTGAAAATGAAGCTTTGCTTCCCAGCAGCAGCAAAGACTTCCTCAGCTTTTGAGATACCACAATATAATTTCTATACCCAGAACAGCAGTGGATGATGAGAACAGGACTTCAAACAGGTTTAAACCAGTTCAGTCATGGACAATGCAGTGAAATCAGAACAGAAATAAATCTGTAAAATGGGGTTGCTCCAGAACAATAACTGGAACAAGAAAAATTATTGGTCAAACCCCTTGAATAGGAGACTCAGAAGAGCCATAGTGAGTGAACCCTTTCAGGCCTGATGTGGGGAAATGGATTATTGCCAGGACTGCCGAGAGTTGACATACATTCAAACCAGTGCAGTCAGACATTTTTGAGGTGGGCATCACTGTTTCCTACCCTTCTGTTCAAGACATTTTGCTGCTAGGCAAGGCACACGCTACTCTTGTTTTCTAAGAGGAGGATTAAGTTTCTAGCAGAGCACTGACACACAATTTTTCCTGTTCTGGTTATCGTTCTGGTACAATCACATTTTACAAATTCAGTTGTATTCTAGTTTTCTTTCATCAGCTATGACTGAACCAGGAAAACCACTTCAAAGCCCTGGATGAGAACAGTTGACCCTTGCTGGCAACTTATGAAAAATATTTTATCGAGAAAATTCTAGGGAAAAACAAATGGAATCTTTTCTTATAACTAGACAATCCAGACTGAACTATTTCAATAACCAGAGTAATCACTGTGAAGAGTTGCTGTTACAAATAAATTTAGTATTACCAAACATTCAGATATTTTTATTTTTGCAGCATTTCCATCCCTCCCCTCCACCCACGGCAACCAACAGAGAAAGTTTCATTCCACATATAAGCCTTTCTTTGACTTTTTACAGTAACAGTCTAATATAATATTTGTCCTTCAGTGATCGACTCATTTCACTCAGCATAATATCCTCCAAGTTCATCCACATTATGCACTGTTTTGTAGATTCTATATTATTCTTTAGTGTTGCATAGTATTCCACTGTGTGTATGTACCATAGTTTGCTTATCCATTTTTCTGTTGATGGGCACCATCTTTTTGCTATTGTAAATTGCACTGCAATGAACATAGATGTGCATGTATCTGTTCTTCTCCTGGCTCTCACTTCTTTAGAATATATACCTAGTAACAGGATTGTTGGATCATATGGTATTTCTAATTCCAACTTTTTAAGGAATCGCCATACTGCTTTCCACGGTGGTTTTATCATTTAACAGTCCCACCAGCACTGTATGAGAGTTCCAATCTCTCTAAAACCTTGCCAGCATTTGTTACTTTCTGTCTTGCTGAACTTAGCTAACTGGTGCTGGGGCAAGATAGTATCTCATTGTTGTTTTGATTTGCATCTCTCTAGGAGCTCTGGTGGTGTAGTGCCTAAGGCATGTGACTGCTAACCAGAAGGCTGGAGGTTCAAACCCACCAGCCACTCCTCAGAAGGAAGGTTGGACAATCTACTTCCACAGTGATACTGCCTTGGAAACCCAAGGAGGGGTGTCTATGAGTCGAATCTGACTCGATGGCAGTGTGTTTTGCATTAATGGCTAATGATGGTGAACATTTCTTAATGTGTTTGTTGTCCGCCTGAATATCCTCTTTTGTAAAGTGTCTATTCACCAAACATTCAGATTAAATGAGAATACTCAAGTACTGAATTCTACATTTTAACACAAGCATAACGAGATTACTGCTATCCAATGGAAATGAGTACTCTCTACCCTTTTTCAATTCTTATTTAAAAGGTGGATTGGAAAGGAAGAATTAAGAGAAATAAACATGTAAGTCCCAATAAATAATAAGCGATACAGGTGGGAATGATTTACTTGATGTGCATATATATTTAAATATCACTTCAAAAGCATAACCTGGAAAGAATATTTGCAGCTGTATCCTGACTGGCGAATTCGAACAGTCTCCAGCATTCCAGTGTACCGAAGCTGTCTAAGTACCAAGGCATCATTGAACCTTAAGGGCAACTAAAACAAAGCAAATGGAAAAAAAAAAGATTAACCTAGAATAGGAGATCTCCAAATTAATGCTTGCCTTTTAAGTATAGTTAACTCAGATTGATAAGGGGTTGTCTGGTTAAGAGATAGCACAGGTGATGCGATAATCTCACCTCCTCAGCTAGTAGCTTCCAAAAAGTTCTGACTGCCTGACCCTAGGAGAAAGAGAAAACCCAAGCTTCCAGACTGCTCTGTTTGTAGAGGGAGAGGGTCTTAAAGCTCAAAAGGATTGTACATGCCCACTGAAGAGGTCACAGCATAGTCACCATAAATTCTGGATCAAGATTAACCTCTTCTCACACAGTTAAGAGCTGTCTATATTTTTGTTTTTAATTGTGATTTTATCTATAATCTTACTAAGAAACCACCTATCCTACACACTCTAACATTTGCCTTGGTTAAGTGAGAGCTGACAGACTCTTCCTCTAATGACTAGCATAGGTTAAGAGTAGTTTGTTTTCTTAATTACTTTTTGCTGATGATATTGGTATGAATCATTGAAAAACAAAAAATTCCTGGAATCTCTGATAATTAACGCCCTCATTCTACAGGCACTGACAGGCAAGGGGCTAATGGGAGGTTGTCACTCATCACCAGGTAATCGTAAGTATCTTGGCAGACATGACTTAAGACATTCAAAAAATGGATAAGGAGCTTCTTATAGATCTCTCTATTCTCTAAGTATTATTTACAAACATTTATTTCAAACATTTTCTAGTAGCTAGACAGGGCACAACAGCTATCAACAAAAAAAGAGCAAATATGCAATTTGTATTAAATAATAAAACCAGTCAGGCAAAAAATATTTACTACTTATTCTGTGTCCTGAAATGTTTCAGGAATTAAAGTCTTTCTATAACAAAATCTCAATTAATAATCAGAACACAAACTTTTGTTCATCTATAAGTAGAACTATTTCCATTTTAGTAATAATAAAAGAACAGCTATCACCTACTAAGTGCTTACTACAGAGCAGACACATACTAAGTACTTTATAGATATTAACTCGTATGTTGTTGTTGTTATGAGCTGTTGAGTTGGCCTAGACACACAGTGACCCCTCCTTGGGTTTCTGAGGCAGTGTCACTATGAAAGTAGATTGCCCAACCTTCCTTCCAAGTAGTGGCTGGTAGATTTGAACCACCAGCCTTCTGGTTAGCAATCAAGTGCCTTAAGCACTATGCTACCAGAACTCCTATTAACTCATAAAAATTCACAAAAATGCAATGAGGTTGGTCCTTACAGTGTTGTAAATTACATCATATGGGTTTTCTAGCCATAGTCTTTATAACTCCCACTGTATTACTGGGGGGAGACCCTGCAATTTAAAGTCCTGACTGTTAAAGTCATCCACCTGGGGTATTTCTGTTGGAGCAGCACAAACTAATCTTCTGGGAAAGTTTGCTTTTTCTCAGGTGTGTAGAACTCTGATGTTGGGATTGGTTGGTTTTGCCACTCTGCCAGGCTCAAAATAAGCCCTCCTAGAGGCAGAAGGAATCTGACTACCAGCTGAGAGAGACATGCTGCTGAGAGAGAGATGCCTGGCTGAGAGATGGCAGCAGTGGAACCAAGAGGCATGAGACAGAGCCGCAGGCTTACCTGGCCCACAGAGGCAAAGGTCAGGCTGAGAGGCCAAGGGTCAGAGAAGCAAGCCTAAGGAACAGAGGGGAGGCTGTCCTGACTGAAGAACTGTATTCTGAGCGCATTCCTAAATTTGAATTGTAGCCTGTTGCTTCCTTAATAAACCCCATAATCTGTGAGTTCTGTGTGGCCACTGAAGTTAATTACTGAACTCAGCAGAGAGGTGATGAGTGCCACAGGAGGGATTGTTGGTGTCAAGGTTGGTAAGAGGGCTAGAGGGTGGAGGTATGTCTGGACTCATAAAAAGAGGCCGTGGGCTGCTGATGGTGATTCTGTCTTCCTCTCGTCAAGTTAGAGGAGATCAGAAGATGCCGCCTCCTTGTCCCTTCAGCAGTCCTATAATAATAGTATACTCCTAAACACTAATGCATACTTCATATTACTTGCTTCTACAGTCAACACCAATGGAAGCAGCAGTTAAGACATCAGACGATGTATCACAATGGGCCAATCTGCTGCAAAAGACCTCTTTTAAGTGCTGAAGAGCAGAGATGTCTCCTTGAAGACTAAGGTGCACCTAACCCAAGTCACGGTATTTTCAGTCACCTCATATGCATGTGAGAGGTGGATAATGAATAACGAAGACCAAAGAACAGTTGATGCTTTTGAGTTGTGCTGCTGGTAAAGACTGCTGAAAGTACTACGGACTGCTAAAAGAACCAACAAATCTGTCCTGGAGGAAGTGCAGCTGGAATTCTCCTTTGAAGTGAGAATGGCCAGACTTCACCTCACCTACTTTGGTCATGTTGTCAGAAGAGACCATTCTCTGGAAAGGATATCATGCTTGGTAAAGTGGAGGGTCAACAAAAGAGGGAAAGACCCTCAGCAAGGTGGACTGAAACAGTGGCTGCAACAATGGGATCAGGTATATAGCAGGGATTGTGATGTTGACACAGGATTGAGCAATGTTTTGTTCTGTTGTACATAAGATCTCCATGAGTTGGAGATGACTTGACGGGCACCCAACAACTTAAATACATGAAAATACTTTAGTTAACAGAATAGTCACTCACCTAAGGTCATAAAGCTTGTAAATAGTAGAGTAGAATACTTCTTGAAAATTAAGAAAGCTGAATATAATTTCTACTACATTTTTACTAGATTAAGGAAACTATTCTTTCCTATGATGAACATAAAGACAGATGACAAATATTTACACTGATTAGGATATTTTGCACAAGTTTTATTTAAGGGGACTGTTATGAAAATCATATGCACAGTATCATCCCTAAGTTAAAGAGACAAGAATCTCTAAACATGAAAAAAGCTAAAACAAGAATAACACCTTATACCCAAACATGAGAGATTAAAACATTTCATTAAAATAAAAAGTTTTTTTTTAATCTTATACATTTCAAGAGCAATTTTTTCTCAAAACCTAAAAGATGCTAAATCAAGTCCATATAAATATCATGAAGGCAGGTAGCAGAAATTACATGGGTATCTATAAAGTATTTATGGGGCATGTTTTCCTCATAAAAATTATAGTTAGCTCTTCCCTTTCATTTGTACTCCTTAGAAAGAATAAAGATTACCTAATGAGCTAAAACTGATACTCTCATTTAGAGGATATTTTTACCTTTTCAGCATTAGAACGAATGCATTTTACAAAATATGGTTCTGCTTGACCAAGGGTCTCCATCAGCTTGCTTAATGATGCCTGCAATACAAAGTATTACAATTAGCATATTCTTCCATCCCAAACTGACAATGAGTGATATAAAAATATAATTGATGATATCAGCAAATTATGCACTAACTAGTGGCACACAAAGGAGCTCTGGTGGTGTAGTGCCTAAGGCATTTGACTGCTAATCAGAAGGCTGGAGGTTCAAACCCACCAGCCACTCCTCAGAAGGAAGACTGGGCAATCTACTTCTGTAGAGATACTGCCTCGGAAATCCAAGGAGGGGTCGCTATGAATTGAATTGACTCAACGGCAATGAGTTTGGTTTGGTTTTTTTTCAGTGGCATATAAAGAAATGTTTTGTTTTGTTTTCTGAATAGTAAACTGTATATTCTCACATTCCCAAAATGGTTAGTTAAATTAAGGATAACTAAGGATAAGAAAGGAGCTCTGGTAGCGTAGTGCCTAAGGCATTTGACTGCTAACCAGAAGGCTGGAGGTTCAAACCAACCAGCCACTCCTCGGAAGGAAGACTGGGCAATCTACTTCTGTAGAGATACTGCCTCGGAAACCCAACGAGGGGTCACTATGAGTCGGGGCTGACTCAACGGCACATAACAACAAACAAGGATAAGAATGGTAGTCTAATCTTAAAGCCGATAGCCTGACATTATTCTGAATACATTTCACAATAATCTAAATTTCACTTTTCACACTTTATGAAACAATTTTATTCAAACTCACGTATTTCTAAAACAACTTTTAAAATCATCCAGTAAGTAAGCTACCGTTTTGGAAAGTGTATTATTAATTTGAATTGACTTGATGGCAATGAGTTGGGTTTTTTGTTTGTTTGCTGGCATTATTAAATTACATTTAATTCACATTTTGGTGGTATCTTATGTGTTGTGACAAATGTCAAATTTATTAAGCATACAGTTACATGCAGTATTCCCTCACTTTGCTTTTAAATACCTATAGAGAATTTAGTGAGGCTCCTTTCTTTAATTCCCAATATGGTAATTTGTACCTTCTCTCTTTTTTCCTGATTGATCAAGCTAGAGTTTATAAAATTTTAATTGACTGATTCTTTTCCAAGAAGTAGCCTTTGGCTTTACTGACTTACTCCCTTATTTGTCTGTTTTCAATTTCATTGATTTATGCTCTTCTTCTAACAATTTCCTTCCTTTCTTTTCCCTAGTAATTTTCTCTGCCCTGGAGTCTACTTTGTCTGACATTACGATAACCACTCTAGCTTTCTTTTAATCAGGTTTCAGAGTGTTTTTCATTCTTTAACTTTAATCTTCTGTGTCATTATATTTAAAAATAATTTCTTGTAGATAACCTTAGTTGGAGCCTTTCATTTTATCCAATGTAACGGTAACTGTCTTTTAATTGGAGTGTTTACAGCATTTATATTTAATGTTAATTATTAGTATGGTTGCATGTAGGTCTATCATTTTACTATATGTTTTCTGTTTGTCGCTTCTCTTTATGTTCTTCTGTTGCCCCTTTCCTTCAATGTTTTCAAATACTATTTTATTGTGTTCTGCAATTTTTTTGGACATTTTTTAGTGTGCTATTATTAATTTTTCTACTGGCTTATTGATTATATCTCTTTGTATTGTCTTTACAGTGGCTTCTCTAGGGATTACAATATACAAACTTAAGTTGTCAGAGTTTACTTAGAGTGAGTATTTCACCACCTCACCTCAAGTAAAACATAGAAGCCTTACAATCATATAAACCTGTTTTGTCGTATGTATTAAATCAACATACAATTATTTTTTATTTTTAAGTGCTGTTTTTTGGTAAACATCATTGTAATATAATATGCATACATACTGTACAATTTGATGGATTTTCAAAAAAGAAATACACTCCTCTAACCAGAATCCAAATCAATAAAGAAATGATCAGAACTTCAGAAGCTCCTTTGTGCTTGATCTCACTTAATTTATCAAGGTCATTTTACATAAAGTATCTACATCACCCTTATCCCCAGACCAGGGGTAACCATTATTTTGCTTTCTAAGATAAATTAATTTTACTTGCTATTTAACTTTACATAAATAGAAAACAATACCCTGTGTACTGTTTTGTGTTTACTGTATACAACTGTATTTAGTCCTTTTCAGTGCTGTACAGTAGTGATAAGGGGCTCTGGAAGAGTAGTGGTTAAAGCATTTGACTGCTAACCAAAAGGTCAGTGGATACATTATACAACTATACCACAATTAAATTATCCATATAAAGATGGGCATTTGATTATTCCAGTTTATGCCATTATGAATAAAGCTCCTATGAATATTCATGTCTTTTAACCATTTTCCAAAGTATTTGCATCAATTTATATTTCCACAACAGCATATGAGAGCCCTAGTGCTCAACAACATACAGTATTATCTGTCTCTTCTATTTTAGCCATGCTACTATGTATGTTGAAGACCCTGGGTAGCACAAATGGTTAAGTGATAGACTATTAACCAAAAGATGGGAAGTTTGAATTCACCTAAAGGTGTCCTGGAAGGCCTGGTGATCCACTTCAAAAGATCACAGCCACTGAAAATCCTGAGTACAATTCTACTCTGAAATGCACGGGGTTGCCATGAGTCAGAACAGAATGATTTTTTGGTATAGTTAGGGTATAACAACAACAACAAATATCAAACTCAAAGCCATTGAGTCAATTCAACTCACAGTGACCCCTCCTTGGATTTCTGAGGTAGTATCTACAGAAGTAGATTGCCCAATCTTCCTTCCGAGGAGTGGCTGGTGGGTTTGAACCTCCAGCCTTCTGGTTAACAGTCAAATGCCTTAGGCACTATGCCACCAGAGCTCCCTTAGTTAGGATGTAGTAGTAAAATTATTTTAATTTGCATTTCTCTGATGAATAATAATGTTGAGCAGATTTTTCATAGACTTATTGGTCTTCTGGATATTATCTTTTGTAAACTGTTCGAAACTTCTGTCCATTTATGTATTGTTGTTGTTAAGTGCCATCGAGTCATTTCCGACTCATAGCGACCCCATGCACAGCAGAACAAAATACTGCCCGATCCCCCGCCAGCCCCACAATCCCTGCTATACTCGAGCCCATCATCGCAGCCACCATATCAATCCATCTCGTTGAAGGCCTCCCCCTCTTTTGTCGACCCTCCACCCTACCAAGCATGACATCCTTCTCCAGGGAATGGTCCCTTCTGACAACATGACCAAAATAGGTGAGACGAAATCTGGCCATTCTTGCTTCCAAGGAGCATTCTGGCTGCACTTCTTCCAGAACAGATCTGTTAGTTCTTTTAACAGTCCACAGTACTTTCAGCATTCTTCGCCAGCACCACAACTCAAAAGCATCAACTCTTCTTCGGTCTTCCTTATTCATTGTCCAGCTCTCACATGCATACGAGGCGACTGGAAATATCATGGCTTGTGTCAGGCGCACCTTAGTCCTCAAGGAGATATCCTTGCTCCTCAGCACTTGAAACAGTTCCTTCACAGTTGACTTTCCCAACGCTACACGTCGTCTAATGTCCTGACTGCTGCTTCCGTTGGCATCGATTGTAGAACCAAGCAACGTGAATTCCTTGACAACCTCAATCTTCTCTCCATTTATTGTGATGCTGCTCATTGGTCCAGTGGTGAGGATGTTTTTGTTTTCTTTATATTGAGACGTAATCCATACTGCAGACTGTATTCTTCAACCTTCATCAGTAGGTGCCTTAAGTCATCCTCACTTTCAGCAAGCAAAGTTGTATCGTCTGCATATCTCAGGTTGTTAATGATTCTTCCTCCAATCCTGATACCATGTTTTTCTTCATATAGTCCAGCTTCTCGGATTATTTGCTCAGCATATAGATTGAATAAGTGTGGAGAAAGAATACAACCCTGACGCACTCCCTTCTTGATTTTAAACCATGTAGTGTCCCCTTGTTCTGTTCGAACGACAGCCTCCTGGTCAAGGTACAGATTCCTCATGAGTACAATCAAGTGCTCATTAATTCCCATTCTTCTCAATGTTATCCATAATTTGTCATGATCCACACAATCAAATGCCTTTGCATAGTCAATAAAACACAAGTAAACATCTTTCTGGTATTCTTTGCCTTGAGCCAAGATCCATCTGACAACAGCTATGATATCCCTTGTTCCATGTCCTCTTCTGAATCCGGCTTGGACCTCTGGAAGTTCTCTGTCAATATACTGCTGCAAACGTTTCTGAATTATCTTCAGTAAGATCTTACTTGCGTGCGATATTAATGATATTGTTCTGTAATTTCTACATTCTGTGGGATCACCTTTCTTTGGAATGGGCACAAATATGGATCTCTTCCAGTCAGTTGGCCAGGTAGCTGTCTTCCAAATCTCTTGGCATACTGAGTGAATGCCTCCAATGGGACATCTGTTTGTTGAAATATCTCAATCGGTATGCCATCAATTCCCAGAGCCTTGTTCTTTGCCAGTTCTTTCATTGCAGCTTTGACTTCTTCCTTCATTACCATTGGTTCTAGATCATATGCCACTTCCTGAAATGGATGAAGATCGATCAGTTCTTTTTGGTACAGTGACTCTGTGTATTCCTGCCATCTTCCCTTGTTGTTTCCTGCATCATTCAATATTTTGCCCATAGACTCTCTCACTATTGCAACTCGAGGCTTCAATTTTTTCTTCAGTTCTTTCAGTTTGAGAAATGCCGAGCGTGTTCTTCCTTTCTGGTTTTCAGACTCCAGGTCTTTGCACATTTCATTATAGTAATTGGCTCTGTCTACTCGAGCTGCTCTTTGAAATCTTCTGTTCAGCTCTTTTACCTTTTCATTTCTTCCATTTGCTTTAGCTATTCTCTGCTCAAGGGCAAGGTTCAGAGTCTCTTCTGTCATCCACTTTGGTCTTCTCTTCTTTTCTTGTCTTTTTAGTGATCTCTTGCTTTCTTCATGGATAATGTTCTTGATATCTTCCCATAATTCATCTGGCTTTTGGTCATTGGTGTTCAGTGCATCAAATCTATTCTTTAGATGATCTCTAAATTCAGGAGG